TCTTGAACTTCATAGAGAAATTCTTGAGGTTTGTTGTCAAACAAACATGTGTCGACCGGCTGCGAAAGTCAGCGATTTCTTGCAAATGCCCACAACACAACAGGCAACAAAGAATTCGGATGGGTGTTGACCGGCTTCACCAAGAAGGCCAACCTGTTGATTGAGCCAAAGATTGAGCCAAATTTTAAGGTTCAGGGTTTAGGGTTTAGGGTTGAGGTTTGTAGGGCTTTAGGGTTGTAGGGTTTAGGGTCGACATAAAAAGTTAGTAGCCTGTATGTGCCAATATATGCATATTTGGAGGTTATGTGTATATATACAAACGGATAAATATATGCATATATAACGGTTGAAAGGGCCTGGACCTGAAAGGAGAACCCCGGCCCAAAAGGAATGACCCCAGACGGGGAGAGACAAAAACGAAAGAAAGCGACTTCGGGCCGGAAGGAAAAGTCCCGGCCACGTGTCTGCGGGAGCTTGAAATGTTGTGAACTGCGTTGACAGAGACTCCCTCAGAGAGAGTGCGAGAGATGCAAATCGACACAAATTTTCCAGGCAAGCCCCTTGCGCACGAGGAAGGTCTTTGAATCTCTGGGAAAAAAAGGCACGCCGCCTTACGTAGAACAGACCGCAGCTGTTCAGGACTTCTTCAAGTCCGCAACTGCCGCCTTCAATCGGGAAAGCACCTCTTGTGATTTCTCAGTGTTCTTCCCCTCCTTCTGATTCATCTCACAGCACATCGTGTAATCAACGACGGCGGATGCTTCGGAAAAGAAAAAGCTCTTCCGGGCCCCGTAATTCATGGTTGTGGCTGCGCTCCGCTCTGCCACCACGAACCCTGTCGGCACATACAGCACCTGATCCTTCTTCAGCACATGGTACATGGGCTTCACGTGCTTAGACATGGAGTCCCACTGCTCTGTCGTAAGCTCCTCGAGAGCCTCCGCATAGCTCTGGTTCCCAAACCAAAGGTTCGATCATGTTTTGTCGTTGTTGGACGACGGTTAAAGGAACAAGGCTAAACAAAGCAGGATATATGCACGTGCATGGCAACAAAAACGACCCTGGTGAACCCCCAGCCTTCTCCAACTCGGCCGCTGTTGATGGCACAGCAAGCCCCATTGTCTTGAGCGCGGCGAGGAAGCTGCTGATCCCGAACATGTAGGTCTCCAGCTCCCCATACACCATGATGCGCAAGCACGCTGCCTGGTTTGGCATGCAGCCAAGGAAAACCCGCTTCGGCAACAGGCCGAACATCCACGATGTGTTGTTCCAAGACTGGGCGACCTCGCTCAAGTCTATGATCGATTTGTTGATCGGCTTCACAAGCTCGGCGAACATCACCTCCGTCGCCTCCTTCCCGGCCTTGGCTTGGAAAGGTTGGTTGACCTTCCCTTGCTCCTCGGCCAACGGAACTTTTTTGTACCTGGAACCGAAATTGGTCATCACCTGCAAGCAAACAGCATGATTGTTCCACGCCGCCACATGGCTGGACTCCTCGATGACCGCGGGCTTCGATAGGTCAATGTCGGAGGGCATGCAATTCGCTTTGATGATCTTGATCTCCTCAACTTTCTCCTTCTGAAGCTTGAAAATGGACGGGAGGTCCGTCCCGTCTGCCTTGGCTTTGACGATCTTGGCCTGCTGAGTGGAAAGATGCTGGGCTGCGGCCTCCTTCGCCTCCCTGTCCTATGAGGGTCCACCAAGGTCCGTTTTTGGGGTTTTTGCTACTTTGGACCCTACTGTAGACCCTGCTAGAGGGGGGCAAGGTGTTTCCTTCTTTGGCAGGGTATACAGTCTCTTCGGCAGGGTCTACAGTGTGTGACAGACCGACCTGGTAGCCCTTCATACTCTGTCCTTCTGACGTTTGGTCTCCCGCTCGCTGGCGGCGGCGAGGGCTTTGCAATGTTTCCCCAAGTCCGTGGAGCACTTCTTGAGGGATGACTCAAGCCTTTCAAGGCAACTGAACATCCGGCGCCACACAACTCTCTTCTTGTCCAAGGCGTTCTCGTCCAGGCTGCATTGGGGGATGGCATCCACGAACTCTTGCATGAAACTCTTGCTGCGGAGAAAGTCACTGTGCTGCAACTGCACAGCAGACACAGATTTGGCCAACAACCACGCCCATGCCTTGGACTGTGAACTCAAGGACTCGGGAGCTGTGGTATCCACAGCGAGCTCAGGCTTGTCCTTCACCAACTCAGACTCGTTGTGAGCCTGCACCGCGGCGGTCAGGACGTCCTTGTCAAGCCAAGCATCCACAACTTCCTTCGCGGCGAGCAACGCATCCTTGTAGAGCTGCCGGGTAGTTGTGTCTGTTGGGGTTGTCGGCTGCAAGCCGTCCTTCTCATCCTTCAAGGCTTTGGTGGCCTCAGTGATCCTGGTCTGCACACTTGCAATCTTCATCTGGAAAGCCCTTGACACTTGCTGGAAGAAAGCGGCCCGAGCCGTAGATACGTTGGCCGCCTTGCGAGGCTTCTTGCTGGTCTTCTCAGCTGCATTCTCAGTCTCATCCTCGGACGCATCCAAGGTTGCTGCCTCGGCCTTACGCTTCGTAGGGCTTATCTGGGGCACGTTGGTGGAAGGAGCCGAGTTGGAGACGGGCTCCGTGTTCTCCTGCTCGTCCTCGTCAGTGCTGACCCGGGCGCCGCCGAAGAAGCTGTGGCCATGATCGAACCCAGCCTCCAAGCTGTGAGCTCGGAAGGCTTCCAACTCAAACTCCTTCGGAGCTTTCTTTCCTTTCGATTGCTCTTTGGACATCCCCTTCATGAATTGGGACTGGCTCTTCTCCTCGTACTCCACCGCCGGCAACCAGAGTCTGATTTGGCCTTTGTAGCCGTCATAGTCCCTTTTCCAGGGCCCCGCCAATTTCATCTTCCACATGTTGCCAGCTTCTTTTTCATCACGGCCAAACTTGTTCACCTGGCGGAGAACCCATTGCCGTTCCTCAAACGGCCTGGTCTGGCTTGCAGACTTGGTCTCAATCAAGACACCAAACTGCTGTTCCCACTGCACCCAGTCGATTAACGGGGCCCTTGCAAACATGGAGAGCCCCACTGACCGCTCTGCCATGTACTGCACCTGTGAGTTCGCAAACTCAATGTCCTTGCGTTTATCTGAGAAGCTCTTGAGGGCTTCAGCACCCCGCTTCGCCGCCTGATTCCGGGCGTTGTCCAGGTGTCTGTTGTGGTGATTGCAGTGGCGGCGGCCCTGCTTGCAATCCTCATCGCATGCAGGAAAACCACACAGCTTCATTTTCTTGCCATCCCCAGCTGTGGAAGAAGATCCCCTCGAGAGCCTGCTGCTTCTTCCACTCGTCTCTGAGGTTGCCGAAGGAGGAGGAGGGGGTGCCACGGCATCGGTGCACATGCTGGCGGCATCGAAGCCATCATCCATGATAGCCGCGGTGGCTGAGCTGGGCTCTCAGCTGCTTCGACACCCCGGCTGAACACTGGGCCCGGAATCTACACACGCATAAACCCTCAAGCTCCACTCTACCAGGCTCCACGGTTCGCACTCGATCTGCCACCACTGCAAAAACAAGTAACCTGGGCAATGAAACAAAGCAGCACTTCTGATCTCGTCCTGATTTGTCGGCACCAATCATCTCAATCTCTGCTGCTCTCTTACAAAACTGCTCATGTTCAGCCACAGAACGGCACATGAGTGCTCCAGCAATCAGGCACACCCGTTAGAGCAGAACAAACGGAAAATCATATGTGGCACGCAATACTACAGTAGATCACTGACTGCTGAAGGCTCAAAACAACTAGGCTGCCAAATCTACTTCGCCTGACTGCTCAACGCTGAAAACAACTAGGCTGCCAAATCTTCTACTTCGCGAGAAAAGTTGGCTACTCAGCATCGTGTGAACAATCGTCTATCCCAGCTGCTCGCAGCAGAGCCGAGGAACCTTACCTCCGCGATCCGCACCGTCTTCGTCTTCAGAAGCCTCAGACTCATGACCTGTTGCCGCGAGCACTTGTAGTGGCATCTTGGAAAGATCACATCGGCGAGCCACATTGCTGGCAAAGTAAAGAATCCATGACGTGAAGGCAGGAACATGTAAGCTGTTGCCGGCAAACGTCCGCAAACTGCTCTCATCAAACTGCTTCAATATCTGAATCCAGGGAGTCAAACCTCTGCTGCCGGAAAGCTGCGGATACACATCGAAACCCTGAGCTGCTAGTAGCTCCAGGCTCAGGACCAAACGATCCTCTTTCCAGCTGTAGATCAACGGGTGTGTGTCCAAAGCTGGCATGTCCGGGCCACACGCAGGCCCAAAGCCAGGGTTCTGCTGCAAGTCCGCGAGGAAACTTCCTGTCAAAGACTCACGATCTGCTCTCATTCGGTCGTACTGACCCTTGCGAACAATCGCACCAGGCGGAAGCAACTGTGTCAGCAATGCACTCATGGGCAGATTCTCAAAACCCTGCGGCAACGTAGTCTTCCGCCTGGCAGCCTCGTTTTCCACAAAAGACTTGATCTCCTGCTGCCCAGCCTGAAGATACACATCACCTGAAAGACAACAGGAGGCTCCGAACACGCTCTCGTAGTCAGCCTGCACATCGTCTTTTCCAACCCACACCCACCGACTCTTGTCAAAGCCAAAGCTGAACATCCGACGCCTGCGGATGGGGAACCCGAGTTGGGTCGGGCATATGGTGACGTACTTCACCTCATGTGTCTTCTTCAGATCCGATGCTTGCTTCTGTTCCACGCGATAGGCACTCGAGTTCTCGGTGAAGTACCAGTCCTCGAGAGATTGCCTTGCGAGAAACTCACGCTCAGCCCGCCACACTTCATGCACAGGCTCTGTCACGCCTGCACCACTCATACCTTTGCGCTTACCCAAAGGTGTATAATCTGTACACACAAGCCCGGCGATGCTGCACACAATCAAGTCGCTTGCCTTGTTATCCTCACTGTCTGCGAAACCCAAACTTGAAGCTGGTTTCTCATACCATGGGGTGATTCGCTGAGCCTGCTTCCTCTTCTTCTCAGGTGAAAAGTTTAGACAGCGACTCTCAAAAGATTGGTTCGATGCCTGATTTGTTGAGCCCATCCTTTGCAGAGCACAGCCTGGAAAGACAGGACATCGTTGTCGGTGCATGTGACAATAGGCATCGGCCATGCTTGTGAACAAGGGTTCCTGCGAAGACACGAACTCCCTGACTAAGGCATTGGCTGCCTGGGCCTCTTCCAAAGGCATGTCTTTGGTCGGGCTGGCAGAATGTATCCAATCTCGGGTTGTCGCAGGCAACCTGTCCAACAAATCACTGAAAACGCATCCTGCACTTGAATCCAGCACCTGGCTCTGAACACCAAAAACTGCTTCTGGTGCTGGCCAATGTCACAGGACCGCACAAAAGACATGTGTGCCTGCGATTGTCCGAGCTGCTTGGCCACATGGTTTTCTATGATGCGACAACACTCACGCGGGGCATCAATCCCACTGAGGTCTGAAGAAATCACCCACTTGTGGCCAAGATTGCGCAGGAGCTGATCACACATCAGGCGGCCCTTCGTTCGTTTGGTGAACTCTATATCCCAGAGGCCAAGCACTTCAGCGGTCTCAGCACCTGAATCATCAAGAAAACTGCTCGCTCGACGGTTCAACATCACGGCGCCGGCTGCTCAGCACTATGGTTCTGCAACTGAGAAAACCCAGCAGGCGCTCAATGCTTTATAGGTGTGACAGATATAGGCTGCCACCGTGCATCTGCTGTCCTTATTGCAATCTCAATGTCACTCTACTATAATACAAGACTGCCTGCAACTTGCATCGATATATAAACTGGCACGCACTCGAACACTGCTTCGTGCCACAATGTCAAACCACAAGCAACAGACATGCTCGCAGACATCTTGTTGAGTCACTGGTTCTACACAGTTGGAAGCTGTCTGCATAAAATCCGGGTCGTTTGCAACAAACGGTCCCCGTGCACCAATAGATTCTAGAAAACTTCGACAAATCATTTAGAAAAACCAAAATCGCCCTCATGCATAAAATGCCACAACAATATTCTTGAAATCATCGAAATCCACCCAAAATCCCTCCAAACTCTCCCAAACTTCCCACTCCACCCAAAATGCCAGAAAAAATATTCAAATCCTCGAAATCCACCCAAAATCCCTCCAAACTCTCCCACATCCCGCAAAACACCACAAAGACCAGCCAACTGCTCCTAAATCAGCTTCATCTGCTCGAGTTTTGGTATCTGGGAGCACAATGGTGGGGGATCCCTCCCGAGTTCCCTGAAACTTCGTGCAAGCTTCGTGCAACTTCGTGCAACTTCGTGCGGTGGCCTGTTTTGCATGAAATCACATGTAAAAATAGCTGATTTGGGCCTCCAAACTTCGTGCAAGCCTTCGTGCAACTTCGTGCAACTTCGTGCAAGCGGGCTTGGGCCCCTGTTTCTAGGTTTGGGCAAAATCCCCTGTCCCATCTCTGCCTGACACCCCAAAAAGCCCACCAGATGCGAGCTTCATGCCAGAACTCTCGAAAATCATGCCAACAAACAGCTGGTTAAATGGTTTCTGAATGTTTCTGAAGTCAACTTGAGGTTCTCGCAAGCAAAACAATGCACATGGCTTGAAAAATAGGTGGTCATGGCTTCTCAAGCACAAATGCAGTGCAGAAACGGCTCGGAAGGTGCAAACAAGCTTCGAATGCATCGTTCATCATGTGAATCAGGTGAATAATGCAGAGAACCTAGAAGTCTCAAGTTCGCATCTGTCAAACCATCATGTGTCACGCAAGCTCTTGCGAAACAAGGTGCAGGAAGTCTGCAACTACCCTGGGCTGTTGTTCTGGCACACCGACAAAGGCTGAATGTGACTGCCTCAAGAACTTAATGATTACACCCTTCTTGCTGCGATTCTTGCTGCTAGAATTCCTCGCTGCGACGGATGAGAAGAACTCGTCACACGACACAACATGCCTAGGCCTTTTTTGCTGGCGTCGGTAGCGGCGGCGGCACCTCTGGCAATCCCTCTAACTGCCCCAACTTGAAATCTCGTTCGATTTCACTCCACACATCTTTATGCTCCTGGGCGCTCGTGCAATGGCGCCCTCTGAGGAGCCAGCATTTGAGGCAGTGTAATGTATCTTCCTTCGAACGCGTCCGAGTTGTATCCTTGAGGTGTTTGCGGCATTTAAACTCCGTGTGCGCTGGGTGCGAGCAGATCATCTCCCAACCGTCCTCCACGTGGGACTTGTACGTCCGGACGGCGGTGCCCCAGCCATATTTAAAAGTGGCACGAGGATTCATACTTCGAGCCGCCTTCGCCTTCGCCTTCGACTTTGCAGAGCTCTTCGGCATGGCAGGCTCAGCATCAGAGCTGGAGCTCGAAGAGCTCGAGCTGGATGACCCAGAAGATGACCCAGAGGAGGAAGAAGAGCTGGAGGCGGGCTCCTCATGCGCGGCAGGCTCAGGTCCTTCAAGTCCATCGATGCTCTCTTCAAGCAAACGCAGAAGCTCCTCATCGGAGTTTTCCTCGGGATGAACAGCATTATCCATGGCTTCATCGTCACCCAAAGCAGTGGCAGACTCACCGGCGTCGCCTGCATCCTCGATTGGCGCCGGTCGCTTTTGACCCCTTTTGCGCCTCGGAGCCATTGGGGCCGCCAGAGCAGGCAAATCCCACTCATTCTCATCCACATTTTTGATGCCTAGCGTCTGCCTTGGAACACGGCGCGGCGCAGTTGCCTTCCCTTCCACCAAAGCCTGATAGAAGGCTGAGCTCTGCCAGTGAGGCACTTCCACGGTGCCCTGCAAAAGTGCCAGCAAGTACCAATGAGAAATTGTTTCATCGCCAGGCTTCGTGTACCACAGCATGTCAGCGGAACCTGGAACATATGCCTCCTGCTTGCCCTTGTTCATGATCATGTGGGTCCACCCCTGCTCATCCAGATTCCTGATCAATTCCCACACAGTGCGGTCGGCAACATCCACATCATTTCGAATGGCCAGGGCTTGGGTAGGCCGAGACACTCGGAAACCAGCCTTGATCACAGCTTGCCCCTTTTCCAGCAACTCCCATGTGGAGAAACGGACATCCTCCGACAC